TTTTACGGAAAAACATGTTTTAAAAATTGACCTTTTCACGCAAAATTACTCGAAAACTAAATATTTTCGAAAAAAATGTATATGGTCATATTTCAAGAAGTTTTTAAATAACAGTTTTTTTCTTAAGGAAAAAAATATTTGTAATCAATATTGTAGGAAGACATGGAAAAGATTTAAACTTTTGCAGTTTTCGGAAAATAATGAATTTTAGAGAAAATGGGATCTGCACAATTCTTTTAAGCGCTCTTAGGCTTTCCGAAAGGTAACCCTAAAATTTGGTGCCGTTTTTGAGAAAAAATCAATTTTTCAATATCAGGATCCACAAAACATGGATTCATACTACCAAATGTGTAAGAGGAAGTACATAATTTACTACATATAGGAATCATATACATCTACTTTGTATTATTAGATATAAAAACACTTAATATTTTAATTATACTTAATACAGTATTTTATTAACCCTATTTGTTAACAAATATTTAAGTGATTGGTTTTCAATTAATTCAACCAAATAAAAAATGCAATGTATCTATTCCTTATTATTTTAACTACGCAACCATCATTTATTTTTATTCACATTCTTTATTGACAATCTTATTACACTTTGCCCTGTTGAATATTCTTGGACATTGTTTACAGTACTTTAATTGATTAATATAGATAATAGCCTTAAATTGCCAATTTTTGTTATTATTATTATTATTATTATTATTATTATTATTATTTTTATATGACCTGAAGATGGGAAACACCATTCCCTTAAAGGTTGTTTAAAAATTGTGTATGAATTATAAGTAATGAGTTTAACTATTTCATTCATCTGTTAAAAGTTTCTAAGACTATCCAACAGTATATTGTGTAATAAGACAGTCAATATAATATGAGACCAAAAAAATATTGTGAACAGCTATACTTTTTTATTCTTCACTAGTGAACCTGGCACTGTTTTGCTATTGCAGTGTATTGCACATCACACAGTAATGGTCATGTGATTGTTAATCACTTTTTATACTACATTGTGCAGAAATTCTATTAGATAAAATACTTTTTCACAAAAGTTTTGTTTAAGATCATGGTTGTCAAGAATCCTATTGTTTCTCCCTGAACTTTATCCGTTTCCTATGACACTACCTTGGAAAAAATTGATTTCTGAGATTCAAATAATAATTCCGGTCGATAATTCACAATCTCAGGGACAGAATACTTTAAAATGTTCTCCCTCAAATTAGGACTAACATTCGCTGTGTATTTGCCATATACAAATTCATCTAATAATGAGTCATTATCATCAAATCTTTATCAAAAAATTACTTAAATACATTTACTTTAATTTACAAAATATTTGAATTTGTGAAGTTCTGAAGTTGGAATATTCCAAATTTTAATATGTTTTGCATGTATTTTGAGCTGATTGTGTATTTTGCACATGTTCTATGTTGATTGTACAGTGCTTCTTCTAAGGATTTACACCAGTAAATGCCCTCTAACAGTTCTAAAGAAAATTGAATATTCTGAAATACTTCTAATTAAATAGAATATGTCTAGTTAAAAATTTAGATGATATTAAAAAATTAAAAGTTTAAGTACAAAGTAAAATATTTTCTGTTGAATAATTGTTTATTTTCTGTTAGAGTCAATATTAAGCATCAAAAAAGGAAATTAATTTTTATTTTAACAATGATATTTTATGCATTAGGAACCAATTTTACTGTTTAACTCTCAAAGTCTAAATATTTGTGTAGCATATAATGCACTTCAACTTCTGGGTCCACAAACCCCATCTTGGTCAGGTTTTACTCAGTTTTTCTTGATCCATTGAGTAAATGCTGAGATAATAACTTACTTTTTTTCTGAACATAAATACAGCTTCACTTTCTTTGAGCTTGGCAGGGTATTTGTCAGGAACATAGTTAATCAAATAATTGTTTGCTTTGTTCTTGAGGTAGCAAGTATATTCTTTTACATGGGGCACAAGAAGGATAGGACTCAAAATCTCTTATCTAATATTTCTTTGTTTCAATTATTATTAAATATTAGCAAGAATATTCATAGCAGTATGTATTCATAATTCACCTTAATATAGTATCAGAATTTGGGTAAGAATTAGGGAATCTAGAGCTAAGAAACAACACATTGATTTTATCCTTCATCAAATTACACACAGTTTTAAACTATTTTTGAAATTAAATAAATATTTTTGAATAAAAAAGTAGATACATTAATGGATGAATGAATAGTGAAGGTTCTAGGATTGTTCCTTGTGGTACTCTTTAATTTATCTTTTTGGGTTGGGAGAAATGGCTCAAAATATTTTTGTTTTCAGTATGCAGGATCATGACTATAACCAAGGGGAAGGGAGGTAGGGAGGGCAATTGTCCAACAAATCTTTTCCCTCTAAATTTTATCCTCTTTCACATAACATAGGCTACACCATAAAGTACTTTGAACACTTAAAAAAAATTCTAAAATTATTTTCAACATTTCCCACGCTTCCATGTATCTCTTGTAGTTATAGCAATCGTTCACTACCTTATGTGGGATTAAAATCTGATTAAGATTAACAATGACAGAAGAATAATTCAATGGATTATCCAGTTTTTGCACATTGTTTTTAGATGTCTTCAACTACACAATTTTACATTGCAGTGTTGTGATTTGACTTTAAAAAATCCACTGCAGAAGGCAACAATATCACTATCCCCGGTCTTAAAATTATCAAAGCAATTACATTGCTTTCAAATCCTAATTAGGTGCCATCTTGAGTGATGGTATACACTATTGTTTCAAGACCTACATAGGCTGGAAAGTAAAAGATAATATACGTTGCCCCTGTTTGTCGGGTGCAGAGAGTATATATCATGTGCTCCATAGTAGGCATTCAACCAATCCCACATTTCCCAACCAATGCTCTTTCTTTTCCAAGAAGTGGCCCACCTCGACTGAAGGCAGCTTGCAGGTGAAATTTCAGGGCTTGCCATCCACATGCTGCTTGCTGCAGTATAATGAGTAACTGAGCTGAACAGACCTAGAGTGAATTCTGGAATATGTGTACCATGAAGTTGTTGACTTCACCAAAATATAGAATGTGGGCAATAGGACTACTAGAATCTAGCACCATCAAATAGTAGAACTGAGCTGACTTTCTCATGCATAACTCACAATCAATTAATGTTCAAATTGTTTGTGTATCAAATGAAGAAAAAATTTTCAAAATTGCATTCTCGCAAGTAGTCTGTTCATCCATAGATGTCGTAATTTGCACTTCTTTGTAAATATGTACTTCTTATTATATCATTACCTTGCTAAATTTTGCAGATTTTGCAGGAGCATTGTTAATTCTTCAGGTTTCTAATTTTTAGGATTTAAATTCATTATGAGGCATTAGGTTGGATGTAGAGAATACAGTTAAAACAATAAAAGAAGAGAAGGAGAGCATTAGAATGACATGAAGTAAACATGATAAATCCAAATCATTACAAAACAAGTAATTGATCAGTAATAGGGCTTTTTTTTTTTTTTATTTCAAACATTCAATAGTCCTTCGATTCTCTTCATACAATCTGAGCAATTTTTTGTAAGCGGCACAATATCATTATTATAATATAAATCAATGATTGATTTTCTTTTACATTTGTAATATTTTATTACATGAAGAAATGATATAATAAAACCATAATAAAATGGGTCATCAAAGATACAATGTTAGGTGGCTCAAGGAACAAGTATACTTGTATTTTTTTTATCAAACTTTTAAATTTAATTATGAAATGGAAAATTGTGCAACAGTTACCAAAATAAAAACATAGTTGGCGTTTCTGTTAAAGCCAAAAACACACCAATTTTCAAAATTCCAATGTTGAAAAACATGCCCATAAAAAAAGTGACTCAAGGTACAGAGGTCTCCCGTAACACAAGAATAAACCATTAAATGAATGTGTCATTGCAACTTTATTCTCACATGATTGCTTGTATAAAATCAATATTGTGATATTGAATTTCATCGTTTCATGAAACACAACATAATTGTATGTAAATTTCAATTTTTTTAGTAAATTTGCCTTTGTATTTGTATAAAAATATCTACTAAAAAACAGTAGTTAGATAGTTCCAAACAAAGCAACCACTGATGATGTGCATTATGTAATTCTAAGGCTACAACTTAAATATTTTTTTTTCTTCTTGTTAAAACATGGAATATTTAGAAAAAAAATCTTTTAAAAATGATGTATGTAATATTTGTATTAATAATATTCTTTCACCATGAATAAATGACCAATAAGTGTTGTCTCCTTCAAAACCACCTGTGTCTACAAGAGCATCAGACTTACCGTGTTTGAAATATATTTGTTTGAAAGTTAAAAATACCATTTATAAGATATACTTAAGTAATATATTTGTTGTAAATAAGTATTACAGAAATAATTATGGTGTTCTTTAGTTAAATATGTAGATGAATAATTTGCATAACAGGATAATTCAAAAACAAAATATTATTTTTCTCATTTCATGTATTAAGAATATAGAACAGTTAAAAGATCTTGTTTTCCTATTTGAAGTTAACTTAAATTTTTCACAATGGAAATGTTTTAAATTCAATTATTGACATTGATCCAAAAATATTTTATAAAAAAAGAATTTTTGAAAATTTATTATCATCTTAGATATATTTTTATATTTTTTGGGAACTTATTTCCCACATATACATAAAATATTTGTAAAACTTCTCTCTTTAATAATACTATTATTTATTAGATGTAGTATGCTTATATTACATGTTATAAATGATTATGTCAATAAAATGTCATCAGATTTAATATTGTTGCTTTACTTAATTGCAAAAATTCTTTCGGTAAATAATAGTGTTACACTTTCTTTATTAAATATTAAGTCACTTCAAATTTTTCTTTGGTCAGTATGTAAACAAATTTATCAATCTACTTAAATTTCATTAGATAAAAGCTCTAGATTTTTATAAGGTCTTATAAAAATTGGAAAAGGTACATGATTGATGTAGAACAAAATGTCGATTATAACAACAACAAAAGAAAAAAAAGAAAAGAAGAACTGTAAGAATATTTATTTCTCTTCTCCTGAAGCTTCTTTTTCATTTGTCTCATTCTCATCAATGTCTTCCTCTTTCTTATCATTGCTTTCGTCTTCATTTGAAACAGGAGCATCCTAGGGAGAAAGCTATTAATTATTTAAATGCATTAATTAAATACAATACCAATGCTGCCATACAATAACAATGCCAAGAGTCTCATCAAACAATGGAAGAAGTCAGTAAATCAAGGTATAAACTTAATAAAAACAAACTATAAATACAGTCCTGTGCGTGATCTTGGCTGTCCGGGTGACGCTGCGTCGTAGGCTGTGTTGCCGACGTTTCGACCATCTTGTCGTGGTCTTCCTCAGGGCTGATATGAGACCATACCAGCGCGGCGATGGGACCATACACGGCGTCGCCCGGACAGCCAAGATCACGCACATGACTGTATTTATAGTTTGTTTTTATTAAGTTTATACCTTGATTACCGTTTATACCGCGGAAGCCTACGACTTTATAAATACAGTCCTGTTTGCAGATGACCAAATAATTTTGGCTGAATTAGAAGAACTCCAAACAGCAACACATGAACTGAATAAAATAGCAGACTGAAAGACCTATGAAATGAAAATCTCTACAAAAAAATTTATTTCAAAAAAGGATCTAAGAAAAGTGAAGATAGTCATTGAAGGGGAAATAATAAGGTAAATTAACATTCAAATATTTGGGCAATAACATTGTACTCCGTACCCCAGAACCTCCAACACAAAATTTTGAAATATAATAGAATAATTTAACGACACTTTGGGAAGAATATGCAGGGGCGGATCCAGAAACGAATTGGGGGGGGGGATTTGTATGCATATCACACACACACACACACACACACACACACGCCATATTTACCAAATATAAGACGAGCCATGTTTTTACACATTGGAGAGGGGGGGAATCAAATATAAGACAACCCTTGTTTTTGTAATTTGAAATCAGTTCCCAACTAGGCTATGGAATTGAAAAAACAAACAAACAAAAAACACATCTATATTATTTACATGTTTATTAACATTATGCATAATTTTTATTGTGCATACTAATATTTTATACACTACATGAATTAAACTTTCAATTTACCAAAATCATTTTAATCATGACTCTCAATCATCATCTTCACTTGTTTCATCGTTACTCAACTTATGTCCATCATTCTCACTCCATAACACATAATCTTTTGTGCCATCTAGACTGTTGCTTACGCAGAACTTTTTGAAACCTTTTATTATGCATTCAGTAGGAATAATATTCCATGCAGTTAGAATACACAGACCAAGCCGTCCAACTAAAGGTTTTTGATATTGCCAGAAGGAGTTAATGGGAAGTAGTTAGTACCATCTGCCAACACTCCCAGCATGACCATACTGATGTTTTTATCATAACTGATTTACGCCCTTTTGTAGCTACTGTATTGTAAGAAGGCATATCAGGTCTCATTGGCATTCCCCATTTGACTCAACAAATGGTTGTGTTGATGGCGCAATTGTATAACGTACGTTTGGTACTCCAATAGTTTTTCTTCATAATCTGCAGGCAGCTTTTGCGATAGAGAAGTTCTTCTACACAGACTGGAAATGAAAATTCCCCTCGCTACTTCTAATGCTTTCACACAAATGCTATTTATAGAAACTACAAAACTCTTGATACGAGTTCCTATAATGAAAGCGACTACTTCATCGTCGATTTCGGGATGGTGCTCCACTTGTAGTCCACAGAAACATTTCCTTGTGGAATTATAAGGTATCAGACGTCTCTTCATACCTCTCCAACGCCGTACATTTGCTTCACTAATTGCGTAACGTTGATCATCTCCATTATTGTTCGTTTGTTCTGCGAGATTAATTACTCGCAATTTAATATTTGCGTGTAACTATTACGTCGTTCCAAATTTCACGTAAGTTCTACACTTCCTCTTTTCTCCACGTGGTCGGCCATTGCCACACTATTATATCATCACACAGCTACACAACACAACCACCACGCACGAACACGTTTACCAAACGACTTCTAAAGCGTAAAGTCTAACGACGCGGATGGGGAAGGAAGGCTCGTGACCTACGTGTCTCTCTCCCGTTGGCCACGAGAAAGAGGCGACGTTACAGCTGTTTGCACAGTTGCTACTGCCGCTAAGAAAAACTAAAATTCTTACTAAGAATACTGCGTAACGACTGGGAAATTTATTGTACACTCTGGAATCATAAAATTTTGCGTCGAAAATGCCTTGGCCCGAGAGGTTGATGGCGCTGGACATCCCTGCTTGCGACAGCGCTATCTAACGTTTATTTTTCGAACTACGTTCTGTTATATAGAACTATAATTAAATTTTTTTTTTAGGCTCGTGACCTACGTGTCTCTCTCCGTTGGCCACGAGAAGAGGCGATGTTACGGCTGTTGCAACAGGCAACTGCCGCTAAGAAAAACTAAAATTCTACTAACGATACTGCGTAACGACTGGGAAAATTATTGTACACTCTTGGAATCATAAAATTTCGCGTCGAAAATCCTTGGCCGAGAGGTTGATGTGCTGGAAATCCCTGCTTGCCGACAGCGCATTCTACGTTTATTTCGAAATAACGTTCTGTATAAACTATAATTAAATTTATTTTATTGGGAGAGCGTATAAAATACTTAATGACCTTGAGAGCTAAATAGTAACAGTACAGAGGAAAAATACTTTCATGATTCCTGCCCAGTAAAAAGACTGACATTACTTTGGTAAATCGTGATTTTTCTTTAAAATTTTCGTTATAATTAAAATGTGTGTTATAAGAGGTATATTAGAAGGGCGAGAGAATGGCTCAGTGTCGAGTGGAGTTCTAAGAAGCTCCGTGAGAAGCGGGTTGCGGTTCCCAGTCTAAGAAGATTTCTTATTCTTCTACAATAGCCTTAAAAGTCACTGTAAATTACAACATGGCTAATATATGTCGTGTAATGTTTATGTATAATTTAAGACAAAATCTCGATTGAAAATAGGGGAAGCAAAACTCCAAAAGCTCAAAAAGATGAAATTACTAGGATCCAATAAAAATAAGCTTCTAAAATCTTTTAATAAGGGGATAATAATCTTAAATGCGAATAAAAAAGAGTTAAAATATTGCATATTATTTTCATTTTTTGAGCGAGATAAAAACCAATGGGCAATGGACTCTAAAGAGTCGGAAAAGACAATTGTTTAACTATACAATTAAGTGATATGATGGAAGAAAATGAGAACCTGTGTGTATGATGTAAATATTATAAATCCGTTGACTCTCTTATTGTTGAATACTTTATTTCTATATCTACTTAGTTGTATTAAGCAATATAAAAAAATTCTTGATAGAACCTATGTATTGTACTATATAAGTAGTGATAAAGATGATTGGATAATGTTGAATGTTGCTGTAACTACAAAATCTTAGTGTACAAGTGCTTTGAATTCCATTTCTACTGAAGTAATAAACTGGTTTGTGATGATAAATGTGGCCTCATTGATTCTGGATGATTGATTATTTCTGTAGATCTTGCGGGTTTCATATGGTAGGCTAGTTAATGTGGTATTTTTGAAGATTTCGTAGCTGTGATAAAAAAATTCAAATCAATTGGGCGGGAAAAGAATTTTTTTGGAAGGGGAAAATTCCTAGACTTTGCAGCTTATTGAAGTGTCATTACATATCAATAAAACATTTTGTTCAGATGTGAGTTAGAAACGTTATTTATGCACAGAAAAATGTAATACAGATTGGTAATAAAATATATGGCAGACAATAGTGATTTCTACATCTCTACACCACATTTCTATAAATAACCCTAGTTTGCTGGACTGCAATTAGCCATATTAGGATGTATGTGTGCCTACAATCTCGTTCATACGAACTGCATGATCATTTTTGTTGAGAGAATAATCGATTTCTCTCCGTACCCACGGTACTACTGCGATGGACTTCGCAGATTCGTGTTTGACTGCGAGGTCAGAAGGGAATAAGGGCATCTGCCGCGTTGCTAGCTTGGTAAGTAAAAGAAATCGCGGCTAAGCAAATGACTGACTCCGCATTCTTATTCGACATGGCTCCCATGAAGCCAGCCAACGAGAGGCGGTTAATCGCATAGTAGGAAGAGGAACATTTCTGTTTCAGAGCCGGGAGTCGTATGTTGGTTGGAGAATCAGCGCAAATATGTTAAACATTTGAGAGCGGAGAGATCCGGGAGGAAGACTAGGAAGGGGCTTTGTCGCATTTCAGAGCTGACAAGATGAAGTTTTGATACCCAATCTAGCGGTGGAACCCTTTTCAAACCCTTCTACTACAATGCAAGAACACCAAGATTTTCTGGTATGTTCTGGATGCTCAGGAACAATACCACAGACTGTCGGGAGGCTTGGTCTGCATCGAAATGCAGGCTCGGAACGAGGCCTGACAGAAGAACACAGCTCATTGCTACATTTGGGAGGAAATTACTATCGAACTGCTGATTATTTTCTGATGAGAGTATATTCTCACCGTAAATGATGGACCCGTTCGCGTTTTCAGACCCATAGGAACGCTATGATGCTGGTAGATAGCAAGTCCCCAGGTCGGAATCGTTTCAGGTACAGTTTGGGGCGATGTCATTCGTGGATGGAATGATCTAGAATCCAAACCACTTAAATGCCATCAGTATAAGTACTCATACTGGATAGAGATCGAGCATAAGGAATTGCATCACTGTGGGGATAATTCGATTCGCACAGGAGAGACATAAGTGGATACTTTTGGGTTCATCGTTAATTTTGAGTAGAAGTAGTGAATGACGTTGGTTGGTTGATTGGTATGGGACCTATATGGTGTCACATAGAAGTTGAGAGTTAGAAAATGTTTGGGCAGAGACACGTACGAAGTGGACGGGGAAAACTAGCTGACCGGATCCTATCAATGGCGGGATGCTCCTGGGCAAATACCATGAACTGGAGAGGTCTTCAACAGTGAAAACTGTGCGCGAGACTAGGGTTCTCTCCCCAAGTAGGATGAGATGGTCCCGTAGAATTGGGTTTGGATCCATTATAAGTATTCCTTACATTTTGCTTCTAGAATAAGATATTTATAAATAAACATTACTGTAAGAAAATAGAATAAAATGTTGACAAATTGTATTTGGAGAATTAAAAACAATATTCATTAGAAAGATAAGAGTCCTTTTCAGAGGTTATGTTGTTTTAATATCAAATGAATACTTAATTAGGACATAGGGAGAGTACTGGGAAACGTTCATTTGACAAAAAAATCAGGGATAAGAAAAACCGACAGAAAAAAAAGAAACGGCCCGGTGCCCTGGGAATTCGATGTGCCTGCTATAAATTCAAGAAACGATTCGCATGGCAAACAAAGCATTTCGTGTAAAGACAATTAGTTACATAAATATTTATGTGCATTTGGGATGTTTGAAGTTTATGTTCAAAATATTCGATAATTAAAATAAGTTGATACATTGGAGTGTATATGAAGGAATAAAAACGAATTTGAAATACTATATCTGCTTGCATAAGTATCTATCCGAAGATGGCAACTCATAATTCTAACGGTTCCCGATATCGGTTACTTTTGCGCACTAGCGGAATCAGGAAGTAATATGGTGTAGAGATGTTGTATGGCAATATTTTTAGTTTTTGACAAATTTAATCATCTTTGATTTTTTAAATAGACACAATATATTTTTCTCATTAACAATAGATAGATAATAAAAAGAGGTATGCAATGATGGTGCATTGTTGTCAGTGTCGCTGCATGTGAGAAGAAGCTTGCTTAAATAGATGTATCGAATGCTTTTCTAAATGGGGGCTTAAAAAAACGATTTATATGAAGCAACCAGATGGATACAATGATGGTTCTAGAAGAGTGTGTCGATTGAAGAAAAGTTTATACGGCTTGAAACAGGCACCCCGTTGTTGGAATGAAGCATTTAGTAATTATATTATTGGTTTGGGATTCCAGAGAAGTGAAGCAGAACCATGTCTCTTCGTGAAACAGAGAGGCACTTGCAAGATTTTCTTTGTTCTTTACGTAGATGATGGGTTGATTGCTTCCAATAGTGATATCGTTAGAGCACTTCAAAAGTGATTTATAAATCACATAAAATTACAAACTTAGGTTTTGAAATTAAAAGGAATGATGATGGATCTATAAATGTAACTCAAGCTCATTTCACGAAAAATATTTTGGAATGGTTTGGTATGAATACCTGCCGATTGGTTGCGACTCTAATAATAAATTATAATAGTACAGAGGAGAGTCCACTTGCTACTTAAGTTTCAAATAGGGAAGCTTGCTTTAATGTACTTTGATATGTTGAACTAGACCTGATATTGCCACTGAGTAACAACATACTGACATGCTTTAGTGATGCAGATCATGGAGGTGACCTTGAGACAGAACACTCAACATCAGGAGTACTCTGTCATTATGCCAGAACACCTATTAGTTGGTTTAGTAGGAGACAACCTTCCGGAGCCATCTCTATCACGTTGCTCGGCTTCACGTCCTCCTCTTTGTCGTGATTAGGGGCAAACCCCAAAGCCTCCATTCAGTGGAATGACCACACACTAGCCCTTTTTGCAGTAGTCGCCCGCGCACCCTTGAAAGAGCCGCCGAAACAGAGTTCTAACGCCACTCAAGAGAGGGCGAGAGCAGCAGCCGCCGCGGCGCCGTCTCGCGCGGCGAAGCACCGCAAAGCGCGCCACCACCCTTACCCCGGGGCTAGTCAGCGGACCCTTAGCCTCAGCGGGGTATAAGGGGTATAAGCGGGGCGCCCCAGTGAGCAGAAAGTCAGTCATCGCCTACCGGCAGTATAGTGAATGCATGCGATATAGTGATTAGTGGCCACGAAGCGGCGAAGTTGAAGGACTCTCTCCTGGACGTAAAATCTGGACTACTGCAGCGAACATCGGACATCTTCCTGGTTAGCGGCGATTTTGGTACATCCCCTGGAACATCGTAAAACTCGCTAGTGAATGGTTACGCTGTACTTGTGTAAAACTGGAATATATCTTTTTTATGAAAAGTACGTTTTTGTGTTGGACATAACACTTTTGTGATTTTCAGAAATCCTTTGCTAACGCAACATTAATGTTTTCAATTTCTAATACGAATATATTTGTTCACTATCGCTGCATCTACTGCTGTAGCGGACTATCTTAAATTGCTCCCAGGCGGTTCCTAGCCACAGGTTCACAGCCATTATAATTAAACTCGTTATCTAATAGGTTACCTGCTAAAAAAAGGACATTGGCCGGCGAACTTCTGCCAATATATTTAGCAGGTCAAAATTTTTGGAGGGACTTCGCTTTGAGATTTATATCAATCCCAAATCCCTTATGTTTTAATTTCAACAGAAACGGGATATGATTCCACCAGTTCTTGTAGAAGCTTTTTATTGCCGTTTGCTACGTTATAAGGTACATTAGTGCATTTGATAAGGTTACTACAAATACTCTTTCGTGCCTATTTCATGCCCAGTATCAAAATTCGCTCATTGAAATTTAATTAAATGGATTAACTTGTTTCAAGAAACCGAGCTTTAGTGATGTCTTTTCGGCAGTAATAACTCGTCTCTACAGTTAAAGAAATGTACTGTTCCTGATTCATGGTGGGACACACAGTCATTTAAGTGAAGACTTTACGGCTTTCAGCTCTGCATTTCTAGGTCTTAAATTATTTAATATCGCTGGTACATCCAGAAGTAAAGAATGCCGTCAAACTCATCGTATCAAAATTCATATGGTGCCAATGTGCAAAGACTGCCCTATTTGGACACGTTCATAAATTGTGTCAAAAGAACAAACTTTCAAAGCTTGGCCAATTCCCTCTAGGTTCTTTCCCATCTGTATAAAAATGTTACTCTTTGTTCATATTGACATCGTCAGTCCTCGTCCATCATCACGCTGCTACAGGTTCAATTAAAGGGCTTGGGGCAGTAACACGATAAGCATCATCAGTTACAATAAGCCGTTCTCCTTTTGTCAGTGTTGATACATCGAATTTGGTCGAAACGCATTTTTTTTCTTGTTACTTCCTTAAGCCAACAAGACGACAATACAGCTCTCACTTTCACCAAAATCGAAATATTAACATTTAAGAATTACGAGATATTTGCCAATGCTGGCTTTGCGAGGCTTACTTTGATACTTCCCTAAGCCCTTCATTTTTAACCATGATATATCTGATTCGATTCCTCTTAGGGATAATTCCGCAGAAAGTATTTTGACTACTTAAAAAAATGGATTTCCTATTTCGGCGTACCCAAAAATGTTTTTCATTCATATCATATTTATTTAATAACAGTTGCAAGAGATTCAGTTTCTGTACAAGTTTAACCACATCCTGCCTCCAGTAATCGAATGGAATGATAGAAAAATATTACCGGATCCACAAAACAGCTTTGCGGTGGCGCTGAAGACAATGAATCATTCTGGTCTGAACGATTCCCCACGGATCTGTTAGATTTCGGCGGCATGGTGTTGTTGAAAACTGTTGACACTAGACAATTTATATGGTTTTCGGACAGTCGGTCAGTTTATCAAATGACTTCATCGAAACTCCGTGGTGTTTTGTGATGCTTATATTCGAATCTTCCAGTTCTCTATATAAAGTAACGTCCACATTCCCAGCTAAAAAGCATAAGAGCTTCGTCTCGTTCCCACGTTATTCTTAAGAAATTATGTTATATACATAAAAAGTTTTCTTCAACATATAGGGAACATTGAAAAGTCATAGCCCGAATCGAAAAAATATTTACTTTGTCTATTCATCTTTTACCTAAAATCGTAACAATTGATCGTTGTACGCTGGTGTTCATTCTCGCTGAAGATGCCCCACATCTTTTCTGCCTGAGGAAGGCACAGTGACAAGCTACACTACATCCCATGTTTACCATTCATCTGCGTAATATGTCCAGAAGCATCAACACGTCGAGCATTATTGTGACTACCGTGCTGCAGGCACATGATTAAGAAAACTGTGTAAAAAGAATAGAATAGAAATGTAGACTGACACAGTCGATGCTACTTATTACTTAGTGTCATCTTCAATCCTTAATACATTTTCTATAAATCATTGGAATTCTATTATGGTAAATAGGTAGGAGTACTATTCAATATAATAGAAAAATGATAATTGTCATATCTAATTGTATGTTATCTGGTGAACGGCTCCTTCCATACACCCAAAACATACTTATAGTACTGAATCACATTTAATTATTAATACAAGATGATTCATTAATGTTTTTTAGATAGGCGTACCTGATCGTCTTCTGTCGATGCTTCAATATCTTCAAGATTTTCATCAGGTGATTGAGCTTCAGTAGATAAGCCACTTCCATCTTCAGCATCTGAAAAATAAAATCGAGTATTCTTCATAAATCAAATATTAAATAATTAAAAAGTATAAAATGAAATTAGAATTAAACAGGAACATTCGAATGAAATAAAGAGGATTATTCTTGAAAATATTGGGGATAATTTTACCCAAGCTCACCTTGGTTACTTGAGAGAGATAGATAGAGATAGATAGATAGATAGATAGATAGATAGATAGAGAGAGAGAGAGAGAGAGAGAGAGAGAGAGAGAGAGAGAGAGAGAGCGTGTGTGTGAGAGAGAAGATTGTATTACCATTTACAGGTTCCTCAGAAACATCGTCTTTTACATCACTGGTAGGTTCCTCCGATGCTTCTTGTGTTTCACCGCCCTCTTCATTCGCAACAGCGTCTTCTCCACCAGATTTATCACCTTTCTCTGGTGGTTCCTCTTTGGGTGGGTCGGCATTAGCAGCGTCTTCGCCATTGTCTGCTTCTTCTTCATCTTGCGCCTCAACTTCTTGAGGCTCAGCAGCTTCTTCCCTATCTTCCGCGGTAGTATCGCCCTCAGAAGATGGATTTATCATGTCAGTAATTTTATCCTTTGTTTCCTCTATTTTACTTTGTGCTTCAGATGTGGCTGTGTCAACTGTATCCTGAACACTTTCTACGGTTTCTACCACTTTTTCTTTACCGGCTTCTTTCAATTCATTCAATTTATCTTCAGCTTCTTCCGCTAATTTTCTCGCTTCACTTTTGGCTTGCTCTTCCGCGTCTGCACATAAAATTTAAAAAAACGTTCTCTTATTTAAAGGTCAGCTAATAGTAATGAGGAGAAAGAAGAGAGAAACGTAAATCAGGAAGATGAACAGAGAAGAAAGAAGACAAAAATAATCTATATAGACGAGTTTAAATTAAGAAAGAAGGAGAAAAAGAAGTTATTAGGAACACAATAAGAGATGAAAATAGAAGCATGCAGAGTTAAAGAATGAGAAATGTAGAATGTTTCGACGGGATATATGATAATGAAGAAAATTAAGGTCGACATCATTTGTTTTAAACACCAAAGATAATTTAAGTTTAATTAATCTTTTATTTAATAAAAGGTGAAATTGATGTTAAAACAAACATGTTTATTTTTCGATTTTTTTTATTTCTCAATCTTTAACATTACTTTGAAATAAAAAGTGTATTCACAAATTTTGATATAATAAAATACCTCAAAGAATTGCTCTTCGTACCACTTAAGAATGAGACAGAAGTTAACGTAACATTATTTGCTCACACCACCTCCTAATTTACAGTTGGGTGCAAAATAATCCGAACACTTGAAACATCCACACATTTATTCAAAAGCAAATTTTACACGAATTCTCAAAAACTTAAAATGAAAAATAACCACAACGAATTTTAAGACTTTCACGCATATCAGCACGTATTTCTTTTTTTACATATAACATCACCTTGATACGCATATACCACATATGTGAAGTATAGAAAATTATGCCTTGTTTTGATTTGTTGTCCACTGTATAAAGCACATCTTTATTGTTATCAGGAGGATTCTCAACAGGATTAATGTAAGAAGAATTTTCTAACCTCTTGAGGTTCTCTGCAGTTAAGTAAAAGGCATTACCAACAAATAATGTTTGCTGCGAAGATTTAATTGTCGCAAAAAACAAAACGAAACTAAAACAGTTTCTCAAGAAACAGATCTCGAAATGTCACAAAATATAATTTATATTGTATCCTTCAGTTAAAAAGCACTAGCCCATCATGAAACACTGACGTCGAATGTAAGTCCGACTGAAAAAAGTGTTTAATTTCTAGAGGAGTTAAAGTAAAAGGCTCTTATTTCCTTTTTTAGACAAGGAAAATTTAAATATTTGATATATTCGATTGCATGAACTCATTACTCAAAATGGATTCCTTAATAGATAACAAGTATCCCAAATTAGTTTAAGTCTGTGTTTAATAATTAACGTTTTGAGTATATTATTATTTACAGACAAATTATGTTCATGTATATCATAAAAACAACCTTACTTTTATGCTTTTCTAAATTGCCATATTACGAAACTTATGGTTCTATGTTGTTCCTAAACAGTATGAGTTGCCTTCATTTATTAGTTCACATAAATTATGATAAATCCAAATGGGTATTTGTCAATGTTCAATAATGATCTTTTTGAACTAATTATTTTCAGAAAAAATCTAGCAAGTAGCAATAAAATTTAAGAATAAATTGTTTGTAAGTAATTGATTCAAAAAGTTAACAAACAAAGAGTATGTTGAGATTAATCTGCATCCTGGAAGATGTACAATTTCTATAATGAAGTTAATTATGGTGATTGTAAGCAGTGACAAGAATAATGAAAAATAATTTGTGTAATTCTGTACTGTTAGTATGGACTTAACGCAACTAAGTACGAATGAAAAACCAGCAGTTAAGGATTTAACAGTTCGCCGTCCGTTAAGAACAATCGAAACAAATTATTTGTAACTAAGAGACGTACGAGTACATGTACTCCAAGAAAGGATATTTTGTGTTGATTTTTTCTCGAAAGAAGTGGCATTAAGAAAGGTATTGAATTACACAAGGCCGCTAACTGAAATATCAAATTTTACAAAACTCTGTTTACAAACTTCAACTGTGTCTGTTAATTGCCTTTTTCGGTCTAAAGAAAGTGTAAAACGCTATATTACTCTGCGTCCTGGTGAATTCACTGATTCTCCTGTGCGTGCCAGAGATAATTTTCATTGCAAGCAGCGATACCAAAAACCAAGATTGAATAAACACACTGTACACCATGGGGACGATGTGCATTGCGGGTTGCGTACCGTGCAGGCGCGCGAGGCCCGCGTCCGCGCCCATATCCAGCTTCTCGGCCGCCTCCTTGAGCTCCGCGGGCGCAGATACCGCGTCGCCGTTCTGCGGCGCCAGTATGGGCGCACTGCTCGCACACCCCATGCCGCCCTCCGACCTCCGCCCTGCGCACATACCAACGAGCATGGTGCACACTGGCATCAGCGTCAAAAAATAAGAAAAAGAAAAGAAACAGGAAAAATAATGTGACGTATGCCATGATTGATTAACTTATTGTTGTTTCTGGACACGCCAACTGTTATGATCATTAGTTCCGTTAGTATAGTGAATGTTTTTAATCGGAAGGTGTCGTTGTCCCGAAGAGGGAGTAACTCAAGATAAGAGTTTAGGTACATGATGATATTGCGTGCCCACCATGCCACATAAAACATCCATGCCTAAAATGAAACTCGAGTGGCTGATTTATTGATTAGAGATTCTGAACGCGTCAACAGCTATTCCCGAAATTTTAGTGCATGCTTTCATCGCGTGAGGTGGCTTTCAACGCGTCCACTTAAGCTACCACGACCTCTCATATCAGCAGGCAGAGAATCATATTGTTTTGCAGGAATCTACTTAATCTTTGTTTGGTCTAAGAATGATGTAAATAAAGCAAAACAGAATTCATCTTGGGCTGGCGCACGGTCTCTTCTGAAGTTCTGAAGGTGGCAGTCACAGCTGGAGAAGAACTATAATTGATCGGCTGCTCTGAAAAGTGGTTTCTCCGATCAACACCTGGCGAATGCAGGAGCAGTACCCTAACAAACGTGCTACGGCCGGCGCGTGATCTTTCCTTCGTCTTCTTTAACCTATCTTCACCATTCACCGGTACACACACTTACACTTACAAGCACTACACTATCACACATGTAGGGATCTTAGAGCATGTATGGGAGGTACCCTGCTTGTGGCAATTACGTGAAAGAGGAAAACCCCGCTAGCCGACGTTTAGGTCGGCGCCGAATGTTGCCATCCAGCTAGAAAAATCACCAGCACCTCCCGTGATTAAGACATGCACTACACGTAGCAGTTGACACTCCTGGAAACACAAATCGATTTCTATGAACTTGATAGTAGTCTTCAGGACCAGGGCGGAATCCATAACTCTCCATAAGATCCATAAGAGGGGCTCCAATGCATATTTCGTTGGAGTAGTTTCCAGTCTTCCTCATTTGGCCTGAGCTAGTTACCTTTTATTCCTCTGTAGGATACATTAAGAATCTTACGAGAGAAGTAAGTAAAGGGCGTTGTCATCAACGACCCCGCAGTTGACTATCTCATCAGAAGGGAGAAATAGTGAAACTGACTGAAAGTTACACATGAGATACAATTCGGTGGCGGTTAGAAAAATCAATGTGTCTTGTTAAGCTTCTTTATATTTTGACGTGACGTCTTAGAATACCAAACATGAGTGACACGTTCCAGTAATTTCTCGATAGAGAAGAACATTAATTGCAAATGTACGATAACGTAGGTGTGTTCTTAGATTTCATGCTTCACACAAAAAATATAGTTTTGACATCATAGAAGTGGAGTGAACTACACATTGAGAAAGTCTGATTTCGAGATGTTTAGTGCAATCCAGATTTTAAAATAATTATATAAGAAGCCATAATTTAGTATTAATATTATTTTATTATTACTGTTTAAATAATTACGTACGCATATATTAGTAATACGTGCGTATTACTCATTCCTATCTCACGATTACGTACTTATCTCGCATTTAATATCATGTATTAACACTTTTAATTGCAGGCCAGCAGGTTGTTAAAATCTACTTTACAAAGGTAATATGTGTCTAATTAAGACCACTTGAGAGAAGTGACATTTTCAGGAGATCAAGATCTTTAAATACGGTTGTCTACGGCGGACTTCGTCACAGTTTTAGAAGAGGGATTGACACTTCATAAATGGAAACATACATTTACCTTTGCAGGTGCGTAATTGTATTCACTTTACCGAAAAAATATTCTTCACTTATATAGAATAATTTAAACCAATTAGTCTTATAATTTTACCTCACATTTCCCACTACGATTACATAGAACAATAAAACTGTTTTTCCTTTATAATTTTGAACAAATCCTAGTTTTTGCAGGACTTAATACCGTTCGACGAATTCGCTTATGTATGTTTCCTACCGCACCATCACTGTAGGAGAACAGAGAGTACCGATGGATTCCTTTCTTGCTGCTAGTTGTGCTGATAGCGTCGTGGCATCCCTCAGTGGCACGAGCGAGGGAGTGCCGCTAATAGACGACCTTAACATCATTGCAAATACACTATTATACTGTGCACTGAAACCAATTTCACTGATCATTGCCAAGTAAATACGCTCGTCGCTCTTAATACATACGACAAACTTAAGGAACTTTGATAGTTACACCAAGAGCATTGATATAGATAACGCATGAAAGTTGGCAAAGTACAGTGACGCATGTTGTGAAGAAGAATCAATAACGTCGCAGATTAATCCTCTAAGCGAAATCATTGTGAAAGAGCTAGTAATTACCAGCGTTTCTTCTTCCTCTGATTCGAAAATGGAGGCGATAAAACGACTGCCTGGAGCAGACTGACCATTAGTAAAGTAATGAGCATGACCTTTGCAGCTGTTCTTCCATTTGAAGTGGCAGGTCTACTGTTCGCATTACAGAGAAGGCCGTGCAGAAGTTATCCAATCGGAAAGCGTAGCTCGGCGAAAGAATTTCTTTGGTTTGTTTACATCTGTTTTTTCTTCTAAGAGCGAACAGATAAACTTTCCCTGAGCCTCGTCGTATCCGATGCCAGCAGAAAGAATGGCTATCCACAAATCAACACGCGCGCACGAGGAGGGCAAGGGCAAACCGCCCGGGAGTCGAATCAATGGCTGAAGTACTTCAGAGACAGCATTACCGTAGTCTCTGTTCCGACTTTGAGCCGGGGGACCTTGAGTACGAGTACCGGCGGAGGCGACTTTTCGACGCTAATTAGACAGCTGGGTCGAATCCAGCCGCTCTCTGGAAGAAAATTCTAGCGGCCGGCTACTCAGATCGGTAGTTTCCTGTTGTTTCAGACGTCAATACCAGCATATAAGATCTATTAGCAAGCATTATCCTGATAAACTAGCCACAGACCTGCCCGCGCTCTTTACTTCCACTTTCTTGTCCTACCCTTACCCCTTTCTTACTTATACTTCCATGCAGTATACTACCACACGTCCCGGGACACGAGTCGGGAGCTTAGAGCTTGTCCCGGCTGGGGTGGTGCCCCGCTGGTGAGAGATCACCGCCACAGCAAATACATGCATTACACTGACACGACTAATGACCTTAGAAGTTGACCCTCCCGAAATCACAACGGAATGCGTTGTCAAACAACGAAATGATCCAGTCTGCTTAAATGAGACACATTTAGTGTTCGTCTCAAAATATAGAATCTAACATGTCATGCTTTGAGGAACCTTTCCCAACGCTTTGGAGCGTAACGAGCAGTATTTCCCGGCGTTTTATGACGTACGAGTAGTATTGTAATTGACACATGCTTTCGAAGTAAGGCTTGTAAGGTGGGTTGCCTAACCTCCTAGCACTACCGCTTCTCTTTTGTGTTTCGTCCGGGGGACCTCAAATATTGAAGTGCAACAAAAAAAGGAGTCTCTAAATTAAATATAATTTACTGTTTTCTTTTTACAAATTACTTGTGAAACACTAACAAACCTCATGTGGGATACAGTATCACCGAGTAGTCTTTCCTAATTTAGTTAGGCTGTTCTCCTGATTTTACGTACCGGCTCGAGACGAAAAATACAATAATATTGTTTAATTTTTGCATGGCCGTTACTTTCGAATTTTTAGATTGCTCTGAAACTTTTTAAACAAACTATGATTTTCGTACTACAATTTAGTACTTTAAGATCTGAAGTGTCCGGAAGCCCCAGGTTACAAAATGAAGAAAGCAAAACAAAAAGCAACAAAAACATTTCATGTTGAATTTCATGAAGAATGACAGATCTAGTTGTTCCGAAACAAATTAAGTTTAAATATTATTTCCAGTAGCGAAGTTCAAAGCGGCCACCGCATCACAGCACACACCGGCGCGACGTCTCCCAATGGAATTGGACATCACTTCTCCACGTTTTTGGTGAAACTTAGAGCGTCCGTTTCCGTTTTCGCTTTCCGCACACTAGAGGACTTCACGTGTTTCGTGCGTGCTATTCAATCAATCTACTAAATCTACTTAAAATTAATTTTTGATAATAAATGATAATATATGATATAATAAATGATAATAAATGAGTGTACACGAAATGACATTTAGATTTTCTTACACTCACATGTGGTAATTGATAATATTTGTTCCTTCATGTTCTCCCGTCTCCAAATAAAAGTATTTAAGGAAATAGTGGGTTTTCAACGGGCTCCATACAACCACGTAGAAAAGTATTATTTTTTGGGCTTAATACTGTGGGTTGATACGGCGCATTTTCTACTTTAAGGAATGCATTTTGTAAGGGATCTTTTTACAAAACACGCTACATGTTGCTCCGTGGATCATCAAAGTGTAATGACCTCCAATATCCTTTTCGCGTCGCGTGGTTGAATGTGCATTATGGCCTTCGTTTTTATTTTCTAGGCATGGCAGTACGTTACTCTCCCGAAGCCTTAGTGAAATCATTTCATGTCTAAATTCGATGCGGTTTGGAAAACTTTCTGTTTGTCTATCTTGTTTTTCTGTTAGTAGAAAGGTACATTAAATGTGGGTCAGTTTTATAATTAAATAGTGTCCCGAAGTAGTAGATGTTTAAATGTCACTCTAATTCACGACACACGTCTTGACAAGACCGAGCAACAGACTAATGCATTGTGGCGGTGGACTTTCGGGCGGTGATCGGCTAGGGCGCGCTAGTGTGCGCGCGAGAATGGCAGTCTTATGAAAGGAGGGTGAACACGAGTGCATAAAATATTTTTCTTTTACTTTTGTGGGCCAACATCATCTTAATATAACAGTTTGTTGTTAGTCGTCACATGGCGCGTATGATGCTACTTTCTCACGGTTAATTACGGACACCAGTTTTAGTTGAAGTGAAAACATACTGTTCATTCATTCTACTATAGTGTTGGGGTATTATGTGCAGAATGACTTATATTTTGACTTCGAGCCATTTCCACCAACCCTATCAGTAAGCGGGAATGTTATCATCTTGCAGTGAAACAGCAAACCTCGTGTTATAAAGATATAAATCAAATTCATTAAGAAGAAAGCCACAAAATATGGTTAATTGTTTCGAATGTTCCTTTGAATACTCGTGTATTTGAAGGAAAATCTTCCAACAAATTGTTGAATTCTAGGCAGAGTAAACGTAATATATTGTAAATAAATGTCCAAATACATTCACGACTAATTACGCGAGTAGTAACTCACATACGACTAGAATTGTGTTTTCCCTCTTAGAACTAAACGAAATATCGCATGTTTCTGTCTGCGTTCTGAGTTGGGTGAACGACTCCTGACAGATGTTTTGCCTCTATGTTGCCATTTGCAGCCCATATCTTTCGATCTAAATTTTACAATAAAAAATAGCTCATAAAACTTTTAAAATTCGATTGTATTTGATTCAAGTAAAACATTAAACATAAATATACGAGTTCGTTGATATGACAGTAGAATTTTATCCAAATATTACGCAAATAATTTAAAATCAAAATCTCCAAAAGACAAAAGAATGTGCAATGTTTTTAGAAGTGAATTAGTTTTCTATTTTGTTTCTGAAAGAATAGTATTCTGATCATCTCACATTTTTCAGAGAACGTGAAGGGAAAATAAGTTATAAAAAACTTGTTTTATAGCTAAAAGATTACTGCTGTGGTAATTAGATATTTAAAGTGGTTAGAAAATCTGTCCATTTCTAATTTCAAATACTTTTCCATTTTAATTTTTCAGATCCCGTCGAAATTGACTCATTTTCTTTCCGTGAATAATTTAGCTTGTCAGACCGCCCCATTTCATCGCAAGACGGCGACATTGATTTTCGCGCAGGCGAGAATGGCTTTTCGCTAGCCGATCGAACTATCATAGTATACAGCCCCGCGGTACGTAGGGAGAGCACAAATAACTAGACTTGGCATATCGGGAGGCCGGAGCGTTGCACTGAGGCTCATGGAAATTTCGACCTGGTGGGGGTGGGAGCGAGGGCGAAGACGAGGGCAGGGGCGGGGGTGGAGGTGGGGTCGGGTCTGCCTGGCCAGCAGGCCGGACAGCCTCGAATGGCGTGACCGCACCCGACCTATATGTACTGGGTTCGTTCACTTCCTTATCTCCGCGAACGACCAGCCACCTGCAGCTTAAATTGCGCCGTAGCTCCTCGCGCTCGGTGGAACTGAAAATAGGCCTTTGCCTCAGGTAGTTTCCCTGCAGACTTGTTGCAAATCGTAATCGTAAAACTCAATAACATCATTAACAGCGTGGGTTAAGCAAATTATAACAAGTCTTTTAGTAAGTTGTTTTTAATGTCACTACTTGGTACAATAATAACAGATTCTCACAAATGTTTTGAGCATTCCCAATGTTACTTTCAAGTGGGCAAATCAAAACTTCAGCCACATGATTACCTAGTATTGACAAATTACTAGACCTGCCAAAAATTTACTTTTCATTGCGTTTAATACATTAGAACAAGCTCATATTTCATTGGCCATGCGAAATCTTTTCCGAATCTCTTCATCGTGGGATGACTCATTGCTGCGCCCGCTAGTTCGTTCGTCTAAAACTTTTATTCCGTTCTTTCACGCAATAACGAACGAGCGCTCTCAGTCACGAGAGCTGTTACTCTGTAGGTAAACACAGCACCTCATTCGTTGCCGCTTATCAGGATGGGACCGAGCTGCATCAGATTGCTAGGTGACATGATAAAAACTGCAAAAATCATTGATACCTCATTCGAAAATGTAATAATTATTGTAAAATGAGACGATGAAGAATGAAGCATTATTTCTTGACTTCTTTTTCTACTTTTCTGACCACCTTCCTGCCTCCCACTCCTCTCTGTGACCCTCTCCCTCTGACCCCCTCTCTCTCCCTCATATTCTAGACAATTGTCGCTCCGAAATAACATCTCAAATTATTGGTTGGTTGGTCGATAAGCTAGAGCTGCTGGAAATATCACGAACAACAATTCGATTCTCGAGATTATGCACGCAGAGAAATAGATGACGCTTCTACCAGAGATGGGTACTAATTTTACATTTTGAAACGGTCATTAGCGTCGAGTACGGAAATGCAGAAGATACTGCGTAAAGGGCGCGATTGCAGACAGCGCCACGAACATTGCACGAGAGTCGCTTAAAAGTACAGAAATCCAAGAAACGAATTCATTTGAAAACTCGACACCTAACGAAGACACATCAAAAATAATAATAATAATAATAATAATAATAATAATAATAATAATAATAAAACCCTTCTGGCCAAGTCTGTACAAAACGAAGATTATATGACACGAATTCCCAATGTCCATTTAATGGGCTCGGAAATAGGTGGACTGTTGATGTGAGCACTTCACTAAAAAAGTTACTTCACACATTAGTTTTGGAACTTCAGTGTGGAGATCATTCTCTCTTCATTACTAGCAGGCTTTCAAGGAACAATTGCTGAGTCCTAACTAAGAGAGGATAAGAGATTGAATTTAAAAAAACACACACAAAAAACTATCAAAAAGACTAAATGGGAAACACCGAGAGGCAAGAGCAGGCGACAATGTAAAAAGGGTACGGTGTGTCCCAAGGATGTGTTTCTGCGCGCTTTTCTAAGGCCTTCTCCGCCACTGGCCGTGCGTCGCGCGTAGAGCGAGGATTGTGCGTGCACCCGCCGCACGGCGCCTGCCACTTACGTGTCCGCGCCGTCCGCTGCCGGCGCCTGCCTGCGTGCGTGCGCGAGCGAGTGCGTGCGTGAGCCAGCGAGCGCGCGTGCTGCGCGTCCACGCGCCCTCCGGTCCCCGTGTCCGACGCTCGCGGGTCGCCGCCGCCACTCAGGAATGCAGAGCGATGGCGGGGGCGGAGCTGGGGGAGGAGGAGGCGGGGCCCAGCGGCGCGTGCGCGCGCGCGCAGTCAACGCCCCCTCCCCGCAATTCCACCTGCGACTCTTTGCTCCTTGCTTGGGAGCCTCGCAAGGAAAATGACAGGGCCGAAGTAGAACGGCCAAATTGAAGGAAAAACTTGGAAAGACGAAATAAAGGATGATAAATAATTTGATGAATATTTCTTCTTTCTAAGTAATAGGTGACTAACTAACGAATAGAAACAGCGAGATATTGCCTCTCCTTTTTTGCGCACATCTTCACCGTCGTTGCTTAGCACCTCATTTCGAGAAGGAAAATAACAAGACTGAAGAAGAATGAGGAGAAGGAATAAAAAATAAGAAGTGGAAGAAATAGAAGAATGCGTTTATAAAGAGAGAACATGTGAAAGCGATAAACAAAAAAGCAAACACAGGGTCAATATAAGTACATATTGAAAAAAATAGGAAACAAGAATGACGTTCCCAGGTATGTCAACTATGGCCATAAATTCCATTAGTGTAGTGAATGTATTATCGCGGCAGAAGGCTGCGTTTCTTCCTCGAAGGATGGTACGATCCGGCGCCGACCTACACATCGGCATGAGGGTATTTCCCCCTCTCATAGCGGAACACCAATCCAACCGGGGCAAGCTCCAGGCTCCCGACATGTGTGGTAGTGTAGCGCATGTAAGTGAACGTGTAAGTTAGGGGAAATGGAAAAAGATCGCTCGTAGTCCGTGGGGCCGTTTGTTAGTATACGTGTGTTTGCTAGTGTATACCCCTGGTATTAATCGGGGAAACCACAGAAAAATCCCAACCACGGCATCCAGCCTCTAGAATTCTCCTGCAGACATCGGCTGAATTCGCCCTACCTGCTTGTAAACTCAAAAATCCGCCACCGCTGGTACCCTAGCTACTTGTTAACTCGAATCTAAAGAACTCGAGCCTCCCGGGTTGGGACCTGCAGAGACAGCAACAATGCTGCCTCTGAGCTTAACTTATCAGGTACAGGAGGCAATAATCCTTTATAAAAGGCGATAGTGTGCGTCTTACTAGCGAGGGTTTTTACAACTTCGTTTCCCCCTCTTCATCTTTTGAGGATGTTCAAAAGGGCCATACATGCTTTTGTGTTACAAACTTTTTTTAAATTTGTTGCGTCTACATAGACGCAACATCTACACGCCCTTTGGGGGCGTTGAGACTTTTACAGTCAAATTAAATAATAAAAACCCTCAACCTTGTAAAAAAATCAAAAATTATGTATAAAACATTCCGAAAATGCCTTTAAATTTGACAAATATTTATTTCCATTTATATATTTTTGAAAAATATTATATTTTATATTTTTAGTTAATTAATTCAACGAACTTAAACAATATTCATAAACTATTTTTGTTATGAAATATTTTATGTTAAGTTAAATTGATTTTTAACTTACATCAATAATAGAACTTATATCCATTATTCATGGACCTTAGGTCCAATCTATTGGTTACCCTAAGATATGTTGGTTACGATTTTCTGTTTCACCTCTCGTGTCTCTAACACCAAATCCTGGCATACATTTTGGGAAGTTCACAAAGAAATTTAATTATGTGCCAAAGAAAAATGAAATAGTCCAGAAAGGTGAAGTAATATTCATTTGTAAGAATTGCATGAAACGATTTGAAATAAACATCTCTCCAAAACTGTGTCATTTTCAAAATATAAAATTGACATTTTAACAAGACTTAAACAGAAAATGTTCAACACTGAAATTTATTAAGGAGAGATGGAAAACTGTACCACAAACAACAATTTATTCTGCTTGTAAGAAAATCCGGCCCAGATCGAATAATAAGAGAAACAGAAAATACTCGACAGTGAAAGAAAAGAGAGAAGGATACCAGAACCAAGGTAGATAAAAGAGGAAGACTTCTATATTAATTGATCGGAATTTATTTCTCATGCCTTTGACGTAATTATGTCCGTTTTTAATTTCCATTAATTTGATAGCCTTCATTCTTAGTGAAATTATCATTTTTTATTCAAGGAATTATTTACTATTTATTTCATAAAAGAAAGAAACAGTAAATACTGTAATGACTGTGAGTGTAAATATTGGAAAGTAAATACTGTAAAACGTACTTACAGTTTACAATATAAAATTAAATGCAATCATGAAAGTTATCTTCTGGTACTTTCCTTGGTTTTCTTCACAAATACATAACAAAAAAGAAATGTTTTGGAGTTCCTGTCTTCTTGTGATATTAACTTTTGAACACTAGTGTGTTTAGCGTTGTCATCTCTCACTGATTTAAATATTGAGTCTAAATTGCCAAAGAAGGATTCAAAACGTGTTTTATTTATGAATCGTGTCCCTATATGTAGTAAATTACTTTCTATAACAAGTTATGTAGTCAGAGCTCATGTTTCGGGGTTCTTGACACAGGAAAATCCTTTGATGGCAAAATATTTGTCTGTCCATCTGTGGCCAATGCTTGCGGTTAACCGTTCAGTCGATGTTGAATTGAATTGAACTGAATTTGCCTATTTTACTGGCGAGACTCGGGCCATCAGGCCTGCTCTTCCGTCTGACCACGCAAATTTCGCTACGCTCCTTTCACCAACTAGCAGAGAAAGGACGTATTTCTTGCGCGAGAAATAGGCTATTTGAATTTAGCTCAGAGGCGTCATTTCGGCTTGAGGATCTTTTAAATGCAAGTAAATCTACTAACATGGGTCAGCCGCTAAACTTCCCCTCCGAAGGAAGGCGTGCGAAGGATTTTTTCGGCCTTAAAAATCCACGCCTTCGATCGGGTTTGAATCCGCAAACTTAAGTACAACAGTCCGGTACGCTAACCGTTACACCACCGCCGCCGCATGTTCTCCAAAATAGATATTCCTCGATCGACATGAAGGGTCTCGAGGCTCTCTGAGTTTGAGTATGATATTTTGATTTTGGGAGATAGTTTACTTGAAGTTTCATCAATTAAAAAAATCTCAAAAATATTTAACTTTGTCCTAGGATAACGTAGAGAACGCTTAAAAGGTCACTTTTCTAATTTTAGTTGAAATCCCCGTTTCTTTGCGAAGTGCAAAAGTTCAGTTTTTTTCGGTGCCTTCCTACAACATTAATACTGAAGATACACATTTTTCTCAATTAAATCATATTTCTCTCAACTGAAACGTATCTTGAAATAAAGTCATATACAATTTTTTCGAAAATACGAATCGTTTTTGCGAACTTTTGCGTGAAACTTAGAACATTTTTATAGAATGTTAAACAATTATTTTCTCAAAAACGGCTTCAATTTTTACTTTTATGTAGCAAATATCAGTGAAGAAAGTGCGCCCACTTTTGGCAATGTCTCTGTATTTTCGAAATTTGCAAGCAAAAACGAATTATGGAAAAATATTGTCGTAATTGTGTGTCGTAATTGTTGTAAATCTTGGAAATTGCAAGTTCGAAGGTTCCGCGCTTCATTCGAGAATTATAAGATTGCAATACAAAGGCACCGCGTCTCGGCAGTTTGAAATTCTAAGAAGTCCTTTTATCGTTGGAGATATTTATGGCTGTACGAAACGCACTATTAATTGTAGAATTTGGGTTGAAGATATTAACTTTAAAAGAGTTAGTTTTAGCACCTCATGTTATACGATTTGTAATGAGTTTTACAAGTGACGGCTTAGATGTGTTAATACTGACCTAAATTGAGGTATTATAATATTACGCAACCATTACCAACTGCGAGGAAGTACGTGCTGCTGTAACTCGATCATTTTAAATTTGAAGCAGTACTTTCTTGTGCATGTTCATAGGGATGTTTAGTGTAGAAAATTGTTTCCAATTGGAAGTAGTTTTTGTGTGTAAAATGCGATACAGAGACAAGTAGAATGTCTATTTTGTTTCGCGAAAGAAATATTTCTTGACTATGTCGCACCACGCCGTTGGCTTTCCAAGTTACAATGCGAGTAAATGTACCCATTTGAAAGCGTGGATACCAATAAAGATACAAGGTTTAAGGAGAGAATTTATTTGTTATCTTTGTTGCAGCAAGATACTTTCGAATTTTTCAACAGAATATCTTTTGATACTCAATGGATTGTTGAGCATTGTCTTCTTTATTTGCTTGGACCGCATGACATCTGCATACGTCTTTCGGCTGTTTAGTGAGTAAAATATGTTTATAATATCGAGATTGTGGTGTCATTTCATTTTGCGAATTTCTAAGGTAGCTATTTTGTTTATAGTGACCTTTTCTTTTTAGTAGTTCGTGAAAGGTTGTAAAACCTAAGTACCCAAGTGCAAGTAGATTTAATGGCATGTAAAAGATTCTCAAGCTTCAATGACGCCTCTGAGCTAAATTCAAATATCTTATTTCTCGCCCAAAAAATACCTCCTTTCTCTGCTAGTTGGTGAAAGGAGCGTAGCGAAATTTGCGTGCTCAGACGGAAGAGCGGGCCTGATGGCCCGAGTCTCACCACGTAAAATAAGGCAAATTCAATTCAATTCAACCCTTATAGCGAAGGGTTTCAGTCCTCGAACAGAACGCATGCTGGTGATGTTCGTGTTTTGTTGTTGTTGTTTTACACTATTCGGTAGAATGATTCTTATAGCATTTAAAGGGTTTGAATAATATTGACATGATCAATAGTAACGTCAAGCCAATACATACGCAAAGTAATATGTATCAGTAGAATGAAATACACAATTTCATACAACTTCTCACTAGTACAAGCAAGACTATAATAAGTACTGTTACACAATTACAATTTAACAGTGTTACAACAATCATAGTACAATCAGTTTGTTGGCATTCAATTCGTCAATATAAACAACTTGCTTATTGTGAATAAAGAGGTGTTAGCAAATCGTGATGATTTATTCACATTGCCAATCAGTAGGGTTTTGAGTTTTTAAGACAGCTATTCACTTGCTTGGACTTATATACATTATTCACTACTGAGCCTGCTTACATGTTGAATAAAATACCTCTCCCAGACAGTGACAAGTAGATAC